CGTGACCTGAGTATTCTTTGCCTACCGTCTAGTACTGTCTGCTCCGTTGTTATTGACCTGGCTTGTCTGACTACTCTACTCGTGTTCCCATCTAGCTCCCACCGCTGTACGACATTGGCGGCAGTCGTTATCACAGCTGGGGTCACTCGGGGGCCGCGACCTGGTCTCAGGCTGCGTCAAGTCCATCCCCACCATCAGGGGCCCTGGTGAAGGGTAGCCTGGGCTTAGACTCCGCGCCCTGAGGGGCTCTGGTCTGTGGGTAGTGGCTGTCGTCAGTCGCAGCGTGACCGTACCATAGGCCTGCCTGCCCATTCCAGCGTTCCTGCCCTGACAGAGCTTAAGTCAACTCCTCCCTCCTCCTCCACAGCCCAGCACTCCAGTGAGCACTGGGGGGGCAGAAGAGACAGAGGTGGCTGACAGTCACCAGAACTGCAGGGAGAACTCAGCGATCAGCGGTCACGTGATTGCTAAGTTCTCACACTTAGAGCCGGTGGGGGACAGAGGCAACATTGGACCGGTGCTGCATCCACCTAGGTAAGTATAATTGAGAGGAAAAAAGAAGTCCACACTTCTCTTTAAGGATGTTCTCACAATAAACTATGGGGATAATCTTGTTGTCAGGACCCAGGTTTGAATCTGCAACCACTGCTGTGTCTGGAAATGTCTCTTCTTGCAGAGCCACCTGGGATGCTGGATGGCTTCCTGGACAATTCCTTGAATGATCCTGCTTTAAACCTTGTTTCTCTTGAACTTTGAACCCTTTGCTCCACCCATGAACTTCCTGATGTAAGCCATATCTATGCACTCCCTGTTTGTCAGATAATTGCACTCTCTCGGCCAATATCTCTCTCTTGTCACTCCTGCCAACATCTATATATCCGCTACCACTTGTTGCCAAACATTAGCTTGTTCTTTGACTACACTTCTGCTCGATTCCAACCTGCAACCACTTGTTACCAACCTTTGGTTTGTTCCTTGACTACGCGTCTGCTTGATCCCTACCTGCTATATCTGCTACTAATAAATATACAGTGCAGTGCTAGATCCCTCTAAACAAAAATCCTCCAAACAAAATAAATAAGTGAATGCTATTAAATGTGTCAATATTCCATATTATAAAGAGAAAAAACTATACAACTGATAACTTCAAAAAGGTGCTAAGTGCAATAATTCATAAAGTCCTTATTAAATAGTGTAAAAAGTCCCATTTCATAGCTGAAAAAATATAGTAAGAACTCCCAGAAACAATCTGGGAAGTAGAATTCTGTGCTTACATAGGTGAAATAGTAGCCTCACAAGTAATGTGGACGATGTATAAAAAGCAATGGGCAACAGCGTTTGTTAAATACATGCAACAAAGGTGTCTTCTCCATCAAGTGCATGTCACCAACATGTTAACACTTTAAACCAAGTAAGACTATCAGCCTATAACCCCACAGAATGGACCATTAGGAGTTAAATGGTCATAAGTACTTTAGATGCAATGCGATCTCCCCAAACTGCAGCTCGTCTGACCATCCATGATAGCACCAAGTGGGACAGACAATACGTTTTCATAGTGTTTGGGCATCCTTTCGCCAGTGATGTTCTTTCAAAATATTCAGGCTCTTCCACAAAGTTGTTACAAAACTGTGGAACAAATACAGGAAGTGGATATATCCTTTTATCTGTAATAGAATCAAGGAGGTTTAATAGACCATCCAGACTAGCATGGGGAGAAAAATGGACAGCTTCAAAAACCTATATCTGCTACTGGACCCCAGCTTGCTCACCTCCTGGTGGGACGATCCTGAGGACCTCAACTTAATACTAGCAAGCAGCAAACCCCATCTCCACCATTAGGTGAACACGGGTTAGTGATTAGACTCTGCACCTCGGGTGAGCTCACGTCATCCACTGCGGTGACCTGCTTGTATACCTATCCTGCTGGTCAGTAGGAGCCTTTCTGCTACTATAGCTACTGGTCTCCAAGCCTAACTTTAAAACTTGCAAAATCTCCTGCGCTACGGAGTAGGCTGAAAGGTCACAATGGATTATGGCTTCCTCCTGGCTTTCATAGATAAAACTCGCCTTGCTGCCCTCAAAGAACTGGGGATGTCCAAAAACACTGTAAACAAAAAAGCAAAAAAGAGGGTGCACTGGCTTAATGCATTAACCTTAAAACATAATTTTATTGTATCCAAGTGGTAATATCTCACAAAGATGAGTGAGACAAAGACTCATCATTAACAACAGCACCATCAAATTCCCAGAAGATCACATCTCATGACATGGTAAATGGACATCCAACAGGCTAATGTGTTTCAAGGATTTGCCTCTTCTTCAGAGCCAGGGCCAATGCGTTAGCCTGTTTGATGTCCATTTCCCTTGTCATGGGATGTGATGTTCTGTGGATTTGATGGTGCTGTTGTTAATGATGATCCTTTGTCTCATCTCATCTTTTGTGAGTATATTACTTACCACTTTGATAAAATAAAATTGTATTTTAAGGTTAATGCAATAGGCCAGTACGCCCTCTTTTTTGCTTTTTTGGTTCCTCTAAGCCTGACCCCTGACTATGACTCAAATGATACTTAGCTATGAGAATATGATGCTAATTTCTGCTTGCCTTTTGGCAAAGTATTTCCTAGATGACTTAAAGTTGTTTTATGCTATATAGGAAAAGCAAAGAGAGCAATGACTTCTCCCTTTAATTTGCATATTGGCTGTTATCAACTTTGCAGGGGCAGACCTTAAACTATTACTAAACCCACAGCAGTAAAATTAGTCTGTAAATGCAGTAAAGCATGCTTGTTATACTCATTGTGGAACCTAAGGGGTTAATCCTCCGCACTGTGTAAAAAGGCTGTTTGATCCTTTCTTCTATGTTCCTCCCCTTTTTCTATTTTCCAAAAAATACTTTTATTAGAAGAAAAAAGGCATATCAGTGCATATACAGTTATGGATCACAGTCTGAACATAAACATAACGTGTAGCCTCCCGTTTCGCAGACGGGTCATGGATTAAACTGCAATACAGATCAGAACGGAATATGACATTATATCAACTGAATATTGCAAACCCCTCCCCTTTTTCAAGCAACCACTTCTTATCTCCAGACTGAACGGTAGGCATGCGCTTGCTCAGTTTGGTTTGTATTGCTAGAGAGGCTTTGTTTTTCTTGGGAGAGTGCATGTGATCAGCACAGGGCCAATCAGCACTGGTCAGACAGAGGGTCAGGGGTTCTGCATCTTCCTAGAGCAGAAAGAAAACTCCTCCTATACGCTTTAGCTAGTGCTGGGCTGGACACTGATAGAAGTCACAAGACTGGTCTAACTGCTGATGAGAAAAAGCATTTAGCAGTTTATATTTACTAAAATAATTGCATTTCCATGTTCTGTGTATTGTGGGAGACCAGATATAGTGAATGCAGGGTCCGGGGTTTAGTAACACTTTAATGCCAGGGGTGGGGCTTACCTTTAAGTGAAGGATGAAAGAAAGTCTGCTTTAAGTAGCCCAAAAAAACACAGACATGTCTTTTTTTTGGGCTATTTAATTTTTTTTTGTCTTGTTCTAGATTTAGTTCCAAAGTTAGCAGTTTACAAATACAAAAAAATGGGTCATGTAACATAAATTAAGTTTATATATTCATACAAGATAATGCCTTACACAGTGTACTTCCCGCATATGTCAGACAATAACTAGCAGAGCAGATTTGTCTATAGCATGTATTTTTCACGTTCGGTTTTCAAAAGAAAATACATTTTTCCCCTTGAGTGATGTTAGTTGAAAGGTTAGTCGTATTTGCTGTGAACTGGATCAAACTCAAAAGAGGATGAAAGTTTCTCTCTATGCCTTGTATCTTGGTCTTCGTGCTATGAAACAGAAGCAACGTTGAAATTTTAAATACATACGAAAGGGTGGCTTTCACTTAAAAGAAAACCTGTCTTTGATGTATATTAAACATGCACTACAGCATATTGTGATTCGAGCTGTCAGAATGTCACTTTCCTGTCTGAAAAAAAGATATACATAGGGCTTCATAAGTGGGTTTTTTTTTTTTTTCACATGATTATTTTATTTATTTAAAAATGCTAGACCTATTTTATTGACACTGACTCCAACTGCCCTTCTACAGTTTATTAAAAAATTGTCTACATTTTTTTTTCCCAAGCTGTCTTTTGTTTGGTCACTTCCATGTCTGGTCTGGCTTCAGCTATGGGTGGCTGTCAGGGCTCCGGGTATGACCAGAGGTGTGTGGACTGACACAGGGAAATGCAGGCTTCAGGTATAAACAAGACAATTTATTAAAAGACTAAACAACACAAACACAGTGCAAGGTAAACATAACACAGTGCAAACAACCCCACCTCCAACAGATAACCATATATGCAATCAAACGTAGTCGAGCAGGCCGGGTCGGTAGCAAACGGGCAAACAGGGTACCAGGAGCGAGCGGAAGATTGGTCAGGAATAGCCGAGGTCAGGACAGGCGGAGTTCGTTCAGAGTCAGGATCAAAGCAGAATCAGGATCAGGCAGGAAGCAGGCACAGGGGCTCATGGGAAACATACACCAAGGCACTGATCACAGGCCTGGTCCTGCTTAAATACACCTCCTGCAATCAGCCTCAGGTGATGGCCTGATTGCAGGAGTGAGATTCTGGCTGCTGAGAGCACCCGCTGGCCAGCCTTGGTACTGCAGCCCACAAGGCAGGCGAGTCCCACCACCATTGGTGAGTCCATTCCTGACAGTGGCCCTGAATGATTCAGAGAATGGTACTCACCTGGTGTTGTACAGTAACTGCTGTTCTATGTAATATTCTCCTGTAAACTAAGGCTGGAGAAAAAGGAGACAGCCTGAGCTCCCAGGAAATGGGTTGGCTGACATTGGCCACTCAATATAGAGTGGCTCCAAGCTTGGAATGGGACTTGGAGGGTAGTGCTTTGGTGGACAGTGCCTGTTTTGGCAACTTTTTTTAAAGCCTTGTTCACATGTCATGCAGTGGCTTCAATACTTCTGAGTCAAGGATGTGCTGAGCATTCGAGCACTCGGGCACTGCCCGAGGTCCCAGGGTCAGTATGGGGCCCCATGAAATTCCCCTGGTACTTTTTATAGGCTTTTTTGGGTGTGCTTTGAGTGTGGGCAAGGACACAAGGGCCCCATGATCCCCTATTGCCCGGGGGCCCCCATGAGTTGTCAGTCCGCCCCTGTTCTGAGTCACAGACTTGGAAAACATCATACAGCAGTTAGATCAAATTTTATTCTCCTTAACTATATTTTTTTTTTTTCAGGTCAGTGATTTAAAAAAACATTGAAGTCAAAGAATGAGCACAAGAGCTAGGCAAGTAGCTTTTTCTGACTAAAAGGTCACCATTGCCAGCCTATTGGAATCTTTCAAAATGTGTTTCCTTTAAGAGCAGAGAAAGTTAGTAGAAGACAATAACAAGTGTTATTTAAAGCCGCATGCATTTTTTACCTTTTTAAAAAATTCATTGATATCCTTGTATGAACTCCGCCATGTCTCATCTTTTATGGACCTCTGAAGATGGTGTTTTCCACTCTAATATGGCCATGATTATTAATGCAGAGAGGAATATTGACAGCAACAAGCTACATGGAGCTAAAAGCTCAGTTTGAATCAGATTACAACCTCTCTTCACCTTTATTCTTTTTAAAAATATATTTGATTCTTTGATTTTTTTTTTTTATGTACTTTTTCTAAGATCCTCATACACATTTCTAAATTTTACAAAACTTTTAACCGTTTCAATACCGTGTGATTTTACACCTTCCTGCCCAGGCCATTTTTCAGGTTTCAGCGCTCTCACACTTTGAATGACAATTGCGCGGTCATACAACACTGTACCCAAACTAAAATTTTATCATTTTCTTCACACAACTAGAGCTTTCTTTTGGTGGTATTTAATCACCGCTGGGGTTTTTTATTTTTTGCTAAATTAACAAAAAAAAGACCAAAAATTTTGAAAAAAAAACACATTTTTCTTTGTTTCTGTTATAAAAGTTTACAAATAAATAATTGTTCTTCATAAATTTAGGCCTGAGATGTATTCTGCTACATGTCTTTGGTGAAAATAACCCAAATTAGGATGTATTTTTTTAGTTTGTAGGAAAGTTATAGAGTTCACAAACTATGGTATAGATCTGAATATTGATCAATCCTGAAGTACTGACAGCCAATCTAATTTCTTGAGGTCCAAGAATGTCAGAATAGTACAGATATGCCCAAATGACCCCTTTTCGCAGAGTAGACAGTCCGACGTACTTCATAAGAGGCATGGCGAGTTTTTTGAAGTTGTATTTTTTTGTCATAATTTTTCGGAAAATGAAAAAATTAAAAAAATTATTTTCACAATTTTTTTTTTTTTTACATACTGTCACCAGTGCAGTACAGCGTCATCATATAACTGGCATGGCGGTGAACAGGGACACTGACTGGTGACAGTATGAAAAAAAAAAATATATATAATTATAATTTTTTTTATTATATTTAATTTTTTATTACATTTTTTAAAGATTTGTTTTTCATATTTTACTATGACCAAAGTAGTACAATGTTACCATAGTAACATTGTACTACTTTGGGGGAGTGATCAGTTTTTTTTTTTTTTTTTATACACAGTTTGCTTATAGCAAAGAATTACTTTGCTATAAGCAAGCATTTACCTGAATGAAATCGATTCATTCAGCTTTTTTTTTTTTTTTTTTTTTTTTGTGCTTAGCTGTGATTTGGTCACAGCTAATCACATGACATGTGCATGTGACCTGCTGTGACCATTCACAGCTAGGCACTAGTATACAATGGATGGCATCATGAATGAAGCCATCCTTGTATACAACTATCATGTGACCTGCTGTGATTGGTCACAGCAGGTCACATGGTATTAGCTACGGGAGCCGGTACTCGGATCTGTCATCGGCCGTGTCCGAGGTGCACGGCCCGTGACAGATCCCGCTGCTGCGCCGCTCTGCTGTGCTGCAAACTGCGCATGTGCGGGAGCACGCCAAATGGTGTGCACCCGGAATTTAGGAGCGCATTTCAAGCCGCCAAACGGCCATTGGCCGGGCGGCTAATGGTTAAGCAAGCTTTAAAATGGCTTTAAAGCTCAGACATGAAATATGAACAAAGCATATTCCTCTATAGAGTGTACTTGTCATAGCCTCCCTGGCGGTATTCCTGAGTGTAGCTCGGGGTAAAGTTTCAGTACCACAAGCAGTAACCCTGAGCTACACTCGGGCTTACCATGCGGCGCTGCTCTGGGATCTGTTCTTCTCTTACCTTGTCCTGCGCTCCCGCGATGTCCCTCCTGCAGTGTCCCCTGTAATGTTCTCCGGCCGATGCCGGCATCTGTGTTCTGGGTTCCGTTCCCTGTGACGTCGGGACGTACGGGGACGGAGCGGTGGGAAATTTGAAAATGACAAAAAGTGACATACACTAAATTCACTAAAATCACATAGTATAACATTCCTGTATCAAACCATTTCACATACATTTTGTCCCGAGTGCTTTGTCCGGCGCCCTGCCTGCATTTTGAATGTTCTTTCTGCCTGGAAACTGAGAAACGTCCATGGTGTCCAAAAAGCGTCCCTTTAGGTCAAAAGCGGTTTTAGACCGGCTAGAGAACAGCGATAGTAAATCAGAACCACTTGCAGAATTGAGTGATAATGATTCGTGGGGGAAATTCGTCATCAGACACTGAAAACAATTCTGCGACTTTGCTCAGTGATGCGTGAACTTGGCGCTCTATTTCAAATTTCAGTGTTTTTGGTTTGATTATATTATTGAATTAAATTTATTATTATTATATTATTATTTTTTATGATTATTTATTAAATTATAATTTATGATTTTGTGTTTCACATTTTGACATACCCGGGATGTTTACTAGACTCTTGTTCGGACAGATTTCAGTGAGTTATTCTTAAAAATTACAGGCCTACAATAAAAAAATACATATTTCCATGCAAAAAAATGTACCGCTTTGAGCACAGAAATATGGACATAATCATACCGCCAAGGAGGTTAATTAAGAGTACTAAGTGTTATTTCTGTCTGCTGCTTCATTACTCTGCTATCAGCATGAATCACTTCTGACAAGTTTCCTGACACCAAGAAAAAAATGGTGACAGAGGAGGGAGCTTCAGCAAATTGACATGTCCCCTAAATGCGTCAGCCATTTGACCGCATTTACAGTTGGAACACCTTGCTTGCCGTTGTGGCCATCTTCATAATGAAAATGCTTTTTAGATACATGCTTCGTCTGTGAGATGTTTTTATCCTTTATACCTTTGCATAAACCTTGGATAATGCACTAGGTGTTTATGCCACCTGTTTATTCTCTATCTAACAGTTAGGTCCATATATAACGAAGGAGTAGCCCACACTTGGCCATGAAACAGCTTTTGATTCAACTGTCCAATTACTTTTGGTCCCTTGAAAAAGGGGGGATGGCTACTATTAATGCTGTAATTCCTAAACCCTTCCTCCAATTTGGATATACATACCCTCAAATTAAACCTGAGAGTGTGCACTTTCAACACACATCCATTATATAACTATAGCTTGAATATGTTTTGGTAAATACCTGAAAAAAACTAAAATTGTGCCTGTGTCCAAATATATGTGGACCTAACTGTATGTCTCTCCCAGATATCTCTCATATGTGTATTTAGCTGCTTGCTTTAAAAAATTACAACCGTTTCTGAAAAAATCAACTATTTTTCTGGTACATCTTGGAAATTTCCAGGTCCTGGTAAATAGGCCCTGCTACCGCTTTATACTCAACTCAAGTCTCAAGCGGTCTGTACCCACCTCTTGATGCAGCTTTGTCCATAACCAAAATTCCCAGTGTCAGCTGGTTTTGGAGAACAGAGGGAGCTCAGACATCAACCCCTCCATTATGGGTTTTCAACCACATTATGGCAGGAGGTCCCATGGTCCTTCATACCTGGAAGCACAGGATATTTTGTAGTGGTGCATCAGGAAAAGCATTATGGTTGGAGAGGTGAGCAAAAAGCTGTCAAGGTGGGCTTTACACAGACACTATCACTTTGCCTTAAAGAGTCAAGATGACAGGTTCTCTTTAAAGTTCAAATGTATGTGCATGTATAGTCTTTGTTTTTGATCTTTATAAAGCATCAAAGCTTAGTATTCCTAAGTCAGAATACAGAAATTTTTTTTTTTAATGACTGGTCTTTTCACATTTAAAGCAGATTTTTTTTGTCCCATACAGTGGGACTGTGCCCTCACTGCATGGGTTATCTGTTTATTTTTGTCCAGGGGTGAGGAAATCAGAGATAAACTTATCAATCCGCCAATCCTCCCAGCACAAAACCGGTCCCTGTCGCTCCTGCCCTCCCGCAGTCTAGCGGTCTTGTACAGTGGATTGTTCCTGACCTCATCATGCCCATAGATCAGCTCTGGACGTGAGGACGGCAAGAACAGTCCACCACTTGAAGTGGGGAACACTGTTTTCCGGAAGATCGAAGGATCGGGTGAGTATAAGCTCTGTAGGGCACAGCCCCACTGTATGAGACAATTTTTTTTTTACCTCGAGTCCTGCTTTAAATTAATCTTCACTGGCAATTCACATCCATTTTACAAAAATCCACTGCAGATCATATTTTTCCAGTATGGATTTTTATACTTCTATGCAGAATTCTTAGAACAACTGTATTCTTTTCAGTCCTTGCCCATATTTCCCATTTTTGACATAGCTAAAACATATCACCTTTCCTGCAGGGCTGTGCCTTTAGCCTTATGTAACTAATAAAACTTGCTTCTTTTTTATTGGAACTGTCCTGCGATGTGGACTTTTCACTAAGGATACATTTTTGACATATAAATTAAATTATTATTGGAGAAAGGTATGTCTTGATAAGGGCATTGAGGTCTTTTTCCCCTAACTGAAGCAGTCAAGAAAAAGCATTTGTAAGAAGTGATATTAAAACTTCATTTTTAAGCACTTTCAGCAGCTTTTTTAATCACTGACTATGTAGCTTCTTTATCTTTTATCCCCTGCCTATATTCCAGGTCAGATTGGTGCCATGACCATTGCCCCATACTTTATGTTTCTGGGTGGCTCCTTTCTCTTGCAGCATCCTATGGGTCCACCCTTACATGCAGGAACTAAAGTTGTGTCTCCCAACACCACCAGTTGGTGTCAATTTGCAAGGTACAGGAGGCCTCGAATGCAGCCCCTAATGTCTCCAAAAGGCTGCATATAATAATTTATTGCATTTAATGCTCCAGAAAACTGTCGCAGATGGAAAACTTACTAGAGGAAATGGTCAGAGATTGTTCTACATGAGTGCTTGGAGATTGAAGTCATGCTATAAGAGACCATCAGATACTAGGGCCATGTTACATAAAATCACTAAACTTTACTACTATTAAGGGACTCTTTTCAAATCTCAAATGTTTCCTCTACTGGCTGTCGGGACTCAAGGGCTGCACTTCAAATACTGAAGGGGCGCCAGGGTCCTACACTGTGTGCATCAATTGAAACACACAGCCAAGGATGGTAAGACATAATAGAGAGAAAAGTATCTTACATGTTTATGGGACATTTAAGGCACCCTTGGAATGTATACAAAACAATCAATTTTTTAAAAGATTGACATTTTATTTGACACATTAATACCTATCGAATGAACACAACACATATTGCACCCATACAATATAATGCAGAAAGGAAGTTCACCTACTGAAAGCTGCCAGCACTTAGAACTGCTACCTAAACAGTGTGTACAATGATTATAGATAGTGCAACGCTCAAAACAGTACTATGTGCAATACAAAAAAATGTGCTCACATGCAATTGTGTCAATAATTATTCAAAAATGAATCATTAAATGAAATATCTTAATTATAAAGTGCCACTCAATAATTATTCTCTTCACATTAGTGCCCACATAATCAAAAAATAATAATAACTACCGTTTGCACAGGGGATCATTTTCACAGTGCTCTAAGTGTAATACAGTGACCACACTTCACATGCCAGCTCGGCAACTACGGCAAGCTGGTGGAATCATATATAAAGCTACTAGATCAGCAAGAGGAAGAGACTATCCAGAGAGACTACAAATTGCATCCGAAGTAGTGTCCATTCAAAAAATTAAAGTCCATCCAGTTGCTCTCGGTAGGCTTCACGCAACTGTGTACCTGACATGTGTGTGAAAAGCCAATCGATCCAGTTCACCACCATGTGCGGCTGGTGAGCAATTATTTCTCCAGAGGCTTCTGACCGGGGGTAATGGAAGTCCCCTAAAGAGATCCACAACGTGAGGAGAGGTACTTATCGTCAGGAGATAAGGATCCAGAGTGATCCTGAAAGCTGTCTGGCCCTTAGGGGTCGTTTGAAGGAGGTGAGGAGGCAATTTAGCCTTAGGAGGTGAAGAGTGACACGTTCACGGAATATGAACACCTTTTTTTTTTTTTTTTGTACATTACATGAATTTGTTATCACTTGTTTTTTATGGACATTTTATTTTGACGATTTTGAGTGGCATGTGAAGTGTGGTCACTGTATTACACTTAGAGCATTGTGAAAATTATCCCTTGTGCAAACGGTAGTTATTATTATTTTTTGATTATGTGGGCACTAATGTGAAGAGAATAATTATTGAGTGGCACTTTATAATTAAGATATTTCATTTTAATGATTCATTTTTGAATAATTATTGACACAATTGCATGTGAGCACAATTTTTTGTATTGCACATAGTATTGTTTTGAGCGCTGCACTATCTATAATCATCATACAATATAATGGTCATTGTCAACATATTTGCTTCACAACGTTTGTAGTTATTGGAATGGATGACTAATGGTATCCTCTAAGGCTGCTTCTATCTTGCAGCCTCAATTTTTGACTACAAGTAAATTTATCCTAAAGCCAACGCGTTTTGAATACTTTAGATTCTACAGATTCTTCCTCAGGGAAAGGATACCACTCTAAAAAATAATAATTATCAATAATTAATCCTGCATAATATGTTCAATTGAAAGGTCAACCATATAGGATGTATAACTTACATACTACCAATATTGATCAAAAATGATGCTTTGCTTGTTTGAGAAATAAGTCTCCCCCATGGGATGAGGTCATCGTTTGACATACAGGAGCCACAGGTACCACATCACAGATACTGTTATCACAAAACATATATCGAATAATAAAATATTTTATATATAATGTCTTGAAAATATAACAAGGCATCAAGCGTATCTTGGAGGGTTCATGTGCTTATAATCATATACATTATCCGATATTAGTGGGGACAGAGGATTCATAAATCCTCATAATATATATATCTATATAGAAACAAATGTATCGGTAACTAACGAGGACTGATCTCAAAATACCCCCACAATTAAAGATACACTCTCAACAGCAACAGAAAAGAATAGTAAATTGAGTATCTAGACTACAATTTTTAAGTATGGTATAGACAATTGAAATAATCACTTACATTCTTAGAACTTGCCATTACTGCATAGGAGTTTTACTGTATGTAGGGGCGAACATTTGAAAACTCGGGCACTTAGGGAGATCAGTAGGGGGCCCCATGAGATGCCCATGATACCTTTTTATAGGCTTTTTTGAGTTTGGGCAAGGATACAGGGGCCCCATGATCCCCTATTGCCCGGGGGCCCATGAGTTGTCAGTCCCCCCTGACTGTATGGGCTGGACATCCAAAACCAACTTCGGTTATTCAGACCTTAACCCACTAAGGCAAGGGTGTCAAACTGGTGGCCCTTCAACTGTTGCGAAACTACAAGTCCCATCATACCTCTGCGAGTCATGCTTTTAACTGTCAATCTTGCAATGCCGCATGGGACTTGTAGTTTGGCAACAGCTGGAGGGCCACCAGTTTGACACCCATGCACTAAGGGGTCAGAATCGAACATCATGCATGTAGTTCCTCCCAGGACCAAGCTCAATACTGAAAGCTACATCCAATAGTGGCACTAGAGGCTTTTTATAGGCAACCTATTTGCCTTTAGTAAATCGATCTTTATATCCCTTGTTCTATTTATTTAATGTACTTTATATAGCGCTGTCAATTACGCAGCACTTTACATATATATTGTACATTCACATCAGTCCCTAACCCTCAAGGGGCGTACAATCTAAGGTCCCTAACTCCGTTCATACATACACATACTAGGCCAATTTACCTACCAGCATGTCTTTGGAGTGTGGGAGGAAACTGGAGTATCAGAAGGAAACCCACGCAGGCACAGAGAGAACATGCAAATTCTAGGCAGGTGGTGTCATGGTTGGGATTTGAACCAATGACCAGAGTACTGCCAGGCGGAAGTGCTAACCATTTAGCCACTGTGCTGCCTGTCTCTTGTAACAAACAAAAATGTGAAAGAAAAAAAAAAACCTAGTTTTCTAGATTTATATTTTGCAAGTGATCTATATATACTATAAAGTATATATACTGTAAAGTACATGAGTACATAATACAACCTAGAATAGATTATGCTTTTGCAGTAAAATGTTGACAAGTGTTTGCACTTTTTTTTTTAACTTTACATTTTTTAAGGGAGATGTATTTTGCCAACACCTCCTATGGGGACTGTGTACTGCAAAATAAATTATTTAACATTTTTTTCCCCTCTCTCTTCAGTCTGGTCAGACACAGCTTACAGGAAATCCCATATGCACAATCACTTTGCATCTAAGCAATCAATAGGAGGTATAGCAGGAGAATTGAAGTTTTAAACCTTTCATGTGTTGAGAAACTCACTGGAGTTGAAAATTTGATCTGGTTGGTATATCCAGCTTTCACACCGCAGGAAAAATTGATATGTTTCAAAGAACTGTAAAAAACAATTAGGTAAACAGAGGAGGTAAGGAGTAACATATTGGAAACATAAAAGTACAAAAGGAAAGAAAAAAAAAAACAAGCCAAAGTAAAATTCTGTGCAAGTTTACCTAAACCACAATTAATGACGAAATACAGAAAATAAAAGCCACGCTGAAAAACTGAGCTCTAATTATTGTATTTAATAATTGTCAAAAAAGACTGCATACAATCATGTCTCCTCCGGAAACCAATCTCGACGCATTTCACCATTGCTAGCTTTCACAAGAATAGAGGAAGTCCCCTATTGAAAGTGACGCTCAGTACATGTCGGAATGAGAAGGCTGGCACAGGCTCATACTTATGTGCTTGCTCATCAATCTGAGCAAATGCTCAATGGAAAACAGGCATTGTCACACCCACGCAAACGTATTAGCATGTGCAGAAAACATATGCATGCGCAAACATATAGGCACTGGCACCAAATGGCCTATTTTTTTTTCTTTTTGTTGCTTTTCAATAGCAAAACTCTTTCAGCAAAAAAAAAAATTAAATTAACAGCACCAAATACAATAAATAACAACCCAGCATAGCCTTACAGATCTCAGGTTGTACATAGAAAGTACAAAACATATACTCAGATATGTGGTAATAGTACTACGATCAGTTACATGGGCCCGAAGGCAATACAAACCCTCCCCTCCCAATCCAGGCAACACCCTCTTGAGATACACTACCCATGAATGATTTAGGAGCCCCCTAAAAGGCCACCTAGAAGACCTATTTAAGCTGGACTCTGACATAAATGGATTGCTGAGTGGTCCTCAGCTAGTTCCTTCTTCACCTGAGCCTTGACCTGCCATACCTACTTACCTGTATACAACTTGGCTTGCCCCAACCTGCCCTTGGATTTCTGCCTGCCTACTGTGACCTTGGCTTGTATTCTTACTCTGCTCCTGTCTTTGGTTCCTGTACATGTCTGCCTGGCTGTGTACTGATCCCATCTTGTGTCCTGATTTTTTCTCTGTCTGATGTTCCTGTAACTTTGTGCCTGACTGTTGATGACCTTTTGGATTGTGTCCTGACTACATTCCTGTCTGCCAAGCAAGTGTCGTCGTGTTCCAGTTTCTGGTTCCTGCCTGGTGATCTACGGTCCTGCAAACCCCAGCTACCTGCTACACCGACCCTCATGCCACTCTGTGTCCTCACACTCCTTGTCATCACTACCAGGGGTGTTGGAGAAGACAAGTCCCCTCTCTGGCTCGATCTCCACAAGGTACGTGACACCTATCCTAGAGAGCAAGCCGGCCGTGGTGAAATGTGTCAAGGTTGGTTTCAGGTGATTGTTTATGAAGTCTTTTTTGACAATAATTAAATAGAAGCAAGACAAGCTCAGTTTTGCAGAGCGGCCTATATTTTCTGTATTTTTGAAGAGAGGACACAGACTATGATAGCCAGCACCCAGTTTGTCCGTGAGTAATAAAATGAGTGAGTCTTGAGCAGAACATGGGTTCGGGTATGTTACAATGAATGGAGTGACTTTTCAAATTGACATTGGTAGCAATTTCTGATATAAACACCAAGCTACTGTACTATAATTATATACTTTAGTGTTTGTAGATTATTATTACAGTACATGGCAAGAAGGTCCATGTAGGGAGGTTGCTGGTCTCTTTCCGTAGTTCCATTTGTAATCTGTCCCTTCTGCAATTGGTGGATTTTCCCAGCCAAAAGAGGAAGAGTGTGAAGGATGTGTTGTTGTGCAGGTGAAATAGAACTTGGAGGGTCAGAGGTCACGTCTTGAATTTCTCTAAAAGGCACGTTAATGAGAAGTCATCATGACACCGGTATCCAGGTCCACCCAACCAAGGGAAGTTCGGCATTGTTGGCTGTGCCACCCCATCCCCAGGGTTTCAGTTTTAATCTGTTCCTGTAGATTTTCCCAGCCAAGAGAGAGCATGTCATGAGAGGCACGTTATAATGCAGTTGAAAGAAGATCTGGATGGCAAGAGGTCATGCTTTGGATATCTCCTGAAGTCACCATGTGGTCAGTATCCAAGTCTCCCAACCTAGGGAAGTTTGGTATTGTTGGCTATACTCCCCCCAGGGTTCTATTTTTAATCTGTCTCTTCTGTAATTGGTGGTTTTTCCCAGTCGAGAGAGCATGGCAGTGCAAATGACATATTGTAACACATGTGTAAGACCTGGAGAGTGGAAGGTAAATGCCTAAATCACTGGAGAACAGGTGAATAAAAAGTCACTATTTAGTTGGTATCTGTGTCCTCTATCCCAGGGAGGTTTGGTATTGTTGGCTGGTGTTTGTCAATCATGCCTCCTCCTGTGAAGTGGAGGAAGGAGAGCAATTGTACAGGGTTTGATCTCCTGACAAAATTTTCATTGTAATATTTTCCCAACAAGTGAATGTCTATTTCACCTAAACCAATGCCAGGTTCTTCATCCCTCATTATACTTGACTTTGTATTAAGCAGCAGGTTGCAATGCACATTCATAAACTGATTTATCTGCCAAAGGATTTGTAATTGTGTTCCGTCACTCTTGGGATCCTTTATCATTTCCAGACAGCAAGGTTGGTGATCTAACTTTTCCCTACAACAGTTAAGTAATACAGCCTGGTAACCAACCTGCCTACAGTCTGTGAATGAAAAAAGAATGAAAAACAGCAAATTGTTGAGACCTTCACTCAACAACAGCACTGTGGAAAGCAACAGAACTCTAACTAAGAACAGGGGTTGATTTACTAAAGCTGACTAGACTGAAATCCTTCCAACATGTGGGAATCCCGGTTGCCACCAGGGTCACCAGATCTAGTATCCCCATTGAAAGATTTTCCTGGTCTGGCTACAACCCAAATTAGGATTTCTCTTTCCCTTTTACTCTCTGTGATAATGGTAAACAGGACAAATAGAGAGGGTGACTCTCCCTAACGGGAGCACAGACAGCAATAAAAACTGATAGGGGTTCTAATCCCTCTCCACTCTATCCAAAACTAAAAAAAAAGTTTTGCCATTAGTTACACTTTAAATCTACTTGAAAACAGTAGGCTTTGATGCAGCTGCTCAGCCATGGAAACCCATTCCATGAAGCTCTCTACGCACTGTTGTGCTAATCTGAAGGCCACACCAAGTTTGGAGGTCTTTAGCTATTGACTCCGCAGACAGTTGGTGACTTCTGCGCACTGTGCGCTTCAGCATGTGCTGACCTCGCTCTGTCATGTGACGTGGCCTACCACTTGGTGGTCTGAGTTTCTGTTGTTCCCAGTTGCTTCCACTTTGTTATAATCCCACTAACAGTTGAGCGTGGAATATTTAGTAGCCAGGAAATGTCAGGGATGGACTTATTACACAGGTGACAACCTATCACGGGACCACGCTTGGAGTCACTGAGCTCCTGAGAGCGACCCATTCTTTCACAAATGTTTGTAGAAGCAGTCTGCATGCCTAGGTGCAATTGTTGTTTTTTTTACTTCTGCTCTAAATGGTATTTTCTTTAAACGTAACTATTTAGCTGAATTACATGGCTTTTTTAAATCTGTAACTATTTTACTAAATTAAATGGGGTTTTTTATATGTAACAATTTATTTGAATTTACTTAGTTTAATATATAACTAACTTAATTAAAGCAGTAGGCAAGTCCGCTTTTTATCTTGTATCTACAGTTAAGCCTATAATATCCTCCTAAATTTGCACCGCTTAGGAGATATTTATGGGTGCAGCAGCCTGTGACATCACCGGTGCATGCCCATTGTGCTCTCAATGGACAGCATGCCAGCAGAGCTGTGCCATGGCCAAAACTCCCACATACATGTGTGGATGTGACTT